GTTTTGCCACATTGGCCAGGCTGGTCTTGACTCCTGGACTCAAGCAATCTGCCTGCCTTGCCCTCTCGAAGTGCTGAGATTATAGGCATGAGCCACTGCACCAGCCCAGAATTTTCAGAGACATGTCCCAAACCTGGTCTGAGTACTTCTTTCTTTAGCAAATGAGATGCTGGCCTGACACAGTGGCTCACACTGGTCATTCTAACATTCTGGGAGGCTGAGACAGGAAGATCACTTGAGTCCAGGAGCTCAAGACCAACCTGGAGCCAGGCACAGTGGCTCACACCTATAATCCCAGCACTTTGGGAGGCCGAGGTGGGTGGATCACCTGAGGTCAGGAGTTCAAGACCAGCCTGGCCAACATGAGAAAACCCTGTCTCTACTAAAAATACAAAAATTAGCTGGGTGCTACGGCAGGCGCCTGTAATCCCAGCTACTAGGGATGCTGAGGCAGGAGAATCGCTTGAACCCAGGAGGCGGAAGCTGTGGTGAGCCGAGATCTTGCCACTGCACTCCAGCCTGGGTGACAGCATGAGACTCCATCTCAAAAAAGAAAAAAAAAAATGAGAAAAAATGCAATGCTGTCCTAATTTCTGCAACTTCAATGTGAAATATCAATGTTTACAAAACTCATAAAGGTTAAAAATTGTTAAAACAATTTTTTTTCTCTTTTTGTTAAAACAATTGTTATTTCTAATGAACTTAAATGTCTGCCATGTACCAGTAAAGCAGAACACACTTCCTCATTCACACACAATGCAACCTAAGTTAATGCAAAGGGTGAGGAGAGACAAAATCTACACTAAAGGTTGCTGGGTAATCTAATCCTTAAATCTTCTGGGTTGAATTGCCTGTGACTGATAACAGACTAGCTGGTAATCCTCTTCAGGGATGTCATTACCTGAGGGGTCCTGGCAAGGCAGTCCCAGCTTCGAGATTAGGAGAAGCATTTTCATAAAACAAGACTATAACTATTTTTCAGCATCTTTGTCACTTCTATTTAGGAAGCAGGTGATGAGACACCTTTCCATTTATTGTCTCCTTTTCTCTCCCAGCAGGCAGGCAGGGGAGGCACCACTACCCTCATTTTACAGAATGCAGCGGCTCAGCAACAGAGCTGTCCCAGTCATGTGAGCCCTAGTCTTGTCCTCCTTTAGGAAGGAAGGTCCAGCACAGAGTCTGCTGCCACAGTGGGAAGGCTTATGCCATGTTCCCTGGACACATCTCAGGACTTTGCAGCATGAGAATGTTCTCAGCAGAACATTACAATGAGCCTCGTTTTAGAAGCACTACATTTTTTTTTTTTCTTTGAGACAGAGTCTAGCTCTGTCGCCCGGCACCAGGCTAGAGTGCAGTGGTGCAATCTCTGCCTCCTGGGTTCAAGCAATTCTCCTGCCTCAGCCTCTCGAGTAGCTGGGACTACAGGTGCGTCCCACCACTTCCAGCTAATTTTTTTTGCCTTTTTTTTTTTTTTTTTTTTTTTTTTTTAAGTAGAGACAGGGTTTCATCATGTTGGCCAGGATGGTCTCAATCTCTTGACCTCGTGATCCACCCACCTCGGCCTTCCAAAGTGCTGAGATTACAGGCGTGAGCCACCCCACCCGGCCAGCGCTACAGTTTTAACTGCCCACTTGGAGATACCGGAGTGTCAGGGCCTCTTCTCCGCCTCTCCTGCAGGACGAGTCATCACGTTTCATTTCCCTACAGATGGCTTCTTCTAACCCAACCCCTGATGACCCAGGGATCTATTGCCTCACTGGAGAAAAACTGCTTTCATTTGCTGACACAGTACTCCTAACTGGGTATCAGTCACCTTACTGCCTGATTTAGATAAAATTCTACCTTATCATCACTCCCCACCCCACTGCATTTTAGTCATTCATTCAACAAACAACTATTGAACACAGGCATACAGGTAGGCATCTCGAATCCGGGCTCTAAAGATAATACAACCAGCACCTTGTACAGAGCTCTTTCTGGTGGTGCCAGGGAGGTGGTCAACAAATACTTAGAAAAAACCTGGTCTAGAGAAGACTTGACTTCAAGTTCCAGGTCTGACGATTAACAGGCAGACCCTGAGCAAAGGTGCTGGTCAGGGGGGTAGCTGTACAACCCAGCTCAGCAGCATCTATCCTCCACAATCGAGGGGAACTGAGGAACAAAAATGACTGAGAAACATACAGCATCTGTTCTATCTCAGAACCACGTAAATACAAGCATCTTCAGGGATGCACGAAAGCCCTAAAGCCCACTCACTCTGTGTTAACGTGGGCAAGAGGTGGAGGCTGTGGGAAGAACTCCAGAGTCTGCAAGTCACTTTGCAGGCTCTGCTGCTCTGTAACAGCACCATAGCTGATGGGCCTCATTCTAAGTGGATCAGCAACAGCCACTCTCATGGAGTTCTCCTGAATTAAGAGCCAGGCAGATCATTCCACCTCACACTACTTAATTACCAAATGTCACAACAGAGTATAAGGACTAGTGTGTTGGATTTTTTTCCTGGTATTCAAAGACAAAATTTCTAAAAGCATTATTACCAGTGGCAGATCTTTTTTTTTTTAATTATTTCTTTCATTTTTTTGAGACGGAGTCTTGCTCTATCGCCCAGGCTGGAGTGCAGTAGTGAGATCTCGTCTCACTACAACTTCCACCTCCCGGGTTTGATTCTCCTGCTTCAGCCTCCCGAGTAACTGGGATTACAGGTGTGCACCACCACACCCAGCTAATTTTGTATTTTCAGTAGAGACAGGGTTTCACTATGTTGGCCAAGCTGATCTCAAACTCCTGACCTCAAGTGATCAGCCCAACTTGGCCTCCCAAAGGGCTGGGATTACAGGCGGAAGCCACCACACCCGAACAGATCTGACTTTTTAGAAACGTTTTAACTTCTTCATAGAATAATAAGACAAAAAAGAAAAGAAAAGGGCCAGGTGCGGTGGCTCACGCCTGTAATCCCAGCACTTTGGGAGGCCGAGGCGGGTAGATTACAAGAGATCGAGACCATCCTGGTCAACATGGTGAAACCCCGTCTCTACTAAAAATACAAAAAATTAGCTGGGCATGGTGGCGCGTGCCTGTAATCCCAGCTACTCAGGAGGCTGAGGCAGGAGAATTGCCTGAACCCAGGAGGCGGAGGTTGTGGTGAGCCGAGATGTGCCATTGCACTCCAGACTGGGTAACAAGAGCGAAACTCCTCCGTCTCAAAAAAAAAAAAAAAAAAGAAAAATAAATAGAAACTTTTTAACTTTGAAATAATTATAGATTCAAAGTTGCAAAAAAGATTTAGAAGGGTCCCATGCACCCTTCCCAGCCACCTCTTAGCTGGCTGTCTTTCCCCAGTGGGCAGATGAAAGCTGGTGGCTCCCCATCCTGAGAGCCTACATTCCAGGAACCTTTACCTCTACCTGCTCAGTCCTCACCCATAACAACTTCCACGTGACAAGGCCAGCACCATGCACAGCAGCTGCTAAGCTCCTCACATTCATTCACTGAACAAATATTTACTGGGCCCAGACCATGTGCCAGCAGCTGCTCTTTTCACAAAATAGTCTCTTCATGGACCTTACCTCATAGTAAAATATTAAGTATGATAAATGCATTAGACAGGACATTACTAGGATTCAGTGCTGTGGGAAAATTAGGTGAGGAAGGAAGACAGAAAGTTAGGTGGCACTGTAAGTAGGCAGTCACCAGGCATTCCAAGAAGATCCAAGGACAGAACATGTGAGTCTGTTCAGAATAGCAAGGAGGCTGCTACGGCAGGTATAGTGAATCAGGGGCCACAGTCAGAGGGTGGGTGGACTCAGATGTGCAGGCTCATTAACACAATTGCCAGGGATGTCCATCAGAGGCCACAAACCCAGCCAACCAAAGCACACCCCTCCAGCTCTCTGCTGAGCCAAAAGCCAGCTGGAGCCACTCTGAGTCCTACAGCACCGGCACAAGCGAAAAGGGAACCATGAAACTTCCTGGAGCCCTCAGATCCAGGCTTCTAATTTCATCTCCCGTTTAACAGATTACTCATTCTTGAAACTCAGCATGACTTTTTTTTTAAAAAGAGAAGCAAATAAACTAACATTAAAACTCAAAAGCTCTGGGTAAAGTTTTGCCTTCAGGTAACCATGACAATAGATGAAGCAATATAACTTTGTCATTAGAACAGGTTTTTCTAAACCGACAAATAAGGGCAGAAGTATCCAACCACCACGACATCTTCCCAACCAAGCCTAAGCCGGAAAACAAAAATAAAGCTGAAATTTTTGCTTCCTTTTCCTGTATGACACAACTGAATGAATTTGAGAAATCATGGCTTCGGCACACGAAAAAGAGTCTTTAATCCAGACATGTAACACCAACAAGTTAGAACCTGAACGGATGAGTTCCTAATACTCTCTCCTTAAGAGTTCAATAAAGCATGGCTAAAAACGTTTTTATAACGCTGATAAAACAGGTTTTTTTCTTAAAACCAAACGCTTTTTTGCAATTTACAACGTATGAAAGATTAATTTATGGTGCGTTAAGGAACAATTTTCAATTCTCCGAGCTATAAACACAACGACCCAGAAACTAAATTATCTGTCTCCCTAAAACCAGCGGTGCTTCAGCTTCTCGGGTCGTCCCGCGGGAGGGGGAAGACCCCAAGGGGTCGGGGGCGGGCGCGGGGACCTGGGGGAGGGGAGGAGGCGTCCCGGGCCGGGAGAGATGCGCAGAGAGCGCGGCCCCAGCCCCCACCGCGAGGCGCGGCGCTCAGATCCCCGGCCCGGCCCGGCTCCCGTAGGCTCCGGCGCCGACCTTCCGCGCCCCCGCCCCGGCCCGGCTCAAGCCGCGGCGTCGCAGCAGCTTCGGCCCCGAGCGCCCGCGCGGGACCGGCCAGGGGGACGCCACCATTTCCGGCTCTGGAGCGCCGCCCCCGACCCCACCTGTGCCCGCGCCCCCGCCCCCCACCCCCCGCCCCGGCCTGACGTGGGCCGACCCGCCCGCCCGGCCCGCAGCGAGCTCACCTGCCCGTCCGTCCACCCGCCCGCCCGCCCTCCCGCCGGCTCCGCTCCCTGCTCCGCGGCGCTGCTGGGCAGCGGCCGGAACACTCCTCAGTCTGGAGACCCCGGGCGGCGGCGGCGGCGGCGGCGGCGGCAGCGGCAGAGGGCGCGGGTGCAGCACCGGCAACGACAACGACAGCGACAGCGGAGACGCGCACGCTCACGCACGCACCCGCACCGGCGCGCGCGCTCCCGGAGGGACGTGGGCTCCAGCGGGTCGGAGCCGCGGGCGGGACCGGCTGCGCGTGCGCTCAGAGCACCGAGCGGAGGCTCCGCCCATGGGGGGGAACGGAGACCCGAGTCTCGGGACAGCCCGGGGCAGAGAAGGACGGAGGCTCCGCCCACGAATGGGCGGGGTTCGCTGTGACGGTTATAGGGCAGGACCAAAGCACGGGGGCGGAGCCAGCCGTCCCAGTCTTCTGGTGGCCGCAGGTGGGTCCCGGGCCCCGGGTGGGCTAGCACGTGCTGCAGGGAACCGCGTAGAAAGAGAGGTCCAGGGCTTGCTGGTCCTGCAGTTGAGTTTACTTAGCGCTTTAAGATTGAGAAAACGTAATCGTTCTCATCAAAGGACTGAACTGAGAGCTGGTGGGAGACGGTGCGGACCGTCGCCCCCGCTCCCACCGCGAGCCACCGTCGTGGGACTGACATTTGCTCATCCCTGGAGTGCCGAGATGGGACTTCCTTCCTTCTTGTCCACTCACTGCAATGCTGTCGCCAGCGCTCACCCACCCTCCCGGAATCGTCGCCAAAAAACGGCGTGGAGGCGCAGGACGACAAGCGTCCGCTCCACCTCCCTCTTCCCTTGCCCACCCCGTCGGCCCGCTGAGGGCATGAAGACCTGCGGCTCACCCTTCCCTGTCCCTGAAACTGCAAGCTCTGCCTCTCACTGACGGCCTGCCCTGCACATGCGGCATGTGCCACTTTCCATCCTAGAAGCTCCCAAAATCCTGCGGCGGCGCTCCTGACTCCTCCCGTCCACCCTTGCCCGTTTGCCTGCGTCCATTCCCTGCAGTCATCTTTTTAAAACAAACCCTTGGATGCCATCCAAGGCTTCCCGTGACACATTGAGTGAAACCCAGATTCTTTCCTAACACGCTCTGGCCTCCTCCTTCCGCGGCCCGCGTAACTCATAGTCATGATGCCAGTCTTGAATTGCCAAGCTTGTTCTAGTTTCAGAGCCTTGAAGTATCAAAGAGCTTGAGAGCCTCCTAGCAGTTCTTAAACTGTGCAACATCAAGCAGCCAACAAGAAAAGGCCTATGGAACCCAAGAAACAGAAAGGCGAGGTTAATATCTGCAACTATTGATTCAAGAGAATGAAAGACATCAGGCCAGAACTGGAGGAATGAGAACAAAATGGACCTGGTACCAATGTCAGACTGAAGCTGTATTCAGCTTGTGTTGAGCTGCAGGAATGAATGACCCAGGCCTTAGGTGAGTCCCTCTGACACCTGGTAGCTTCACTTTAGGGACATTCTTCCAAAGAAAATATTCCCGAATACGGAAAGAAGCATATGCACCAAAATGTTCACAATGGCACCGTTCATAACAGTGAGAATGGAAACCTGCACTCAAAGGGAATGTTAGAGTTACTGAAATGTATACAGTGGGGCACCATGGCTGACGCCTGGAATCTCAGCACTTTGGTAGGCCAAGGCGGGAGAATCACTGGAGCCCAGGAGTTTGAGACCTGCCTGGACAACATAGTGAAACCCCCATCTCTACCCCCCAAAAAAATTTTTTTTTCTTTTTTGAGACTGAGTCTTGCTCTGTTGCCCAGGCTGGAGTGCAATGGTGCAATCTCAGCTCACCACAACCTCCAGCTCCCAGGTTCAAGCGATTCTCCTGCCTCAGCCTCCCAAGTAGCTGGGATTATAGGCATGTGCTACCACGCCCAGCTAATTTTTGTATTTTTAGTAGAGATGGGGCTTCACCATGTTGGCCAGGCTGGTCTTGAACTCCTGACCTCAGGTGATCCACCCACCTCTGCCTCCTAAAGTACTGGGATTACAGGGGTGAGCCACCATGTCCGGCCAAAATCATTTTTTTAATTAGTCATGCCCCTGTAGTCCCAGCTATTCAGGAGGCTGGATCAGATGGGAGGCCAAGGCTGCAATGAGCTAGTATTGTCCCACTGCATTCCTGCCTAGGTGACAGAACAAGACCTCATCTCTTATTTAAAAAGATGTGGGCGCAGTGGCTCACATCTGTTATCCCAGCACTTTGGGAGGCCGAGGCGGGCAGATCACAAGGTCAGGAGTTCAAGATCAGACTGGCCAACATGGTGAAACCCCATCTCTACTAAATAATACAAAAATTAGCTGTGCATGGAGGCTCCTGCCTTTAATCCCAGCTACTTGGGAGGCTGAGGTAGGAGAATTGCTTGAACCGGGACCAGGGAGGCGGAGGTTGCAGTGAGCCAAGATTGCACCACTGCACTCCAGCCTGGGCTACAGAGCGAGACTCCATCTCAAAACAATAAAAATAAAAAATAAAATAGGCCGGGGGCGGTGGCTCACACCTGTAATCCCAGCATGTTGGGAGGCCAAGATGGGTGGATCACCTAAGATCAGAAGTTCGAGACCAGCCTGGCCAACATGGTGAAACCCCATCTCTAAAAAAGTTAAAATTAAAAAATTAAATTAAATTAGATTAAAAGTAAAAGAAGAAAAAAGAAAGATAATGTATACAAAGGCTACATAAGAGCAAAGAGCTCCTGAAACCAAAAGGAGCACGCTGCATGATATGTAAAAAGTACATTATCAGGCCCGGCACAGTGGCTCACGCCTGTAATCCCAGCACTTTGGGAGGCCAAGGTGGGTGGATCACGAGGTCAAGAGATCGAGACCATCCTGGTCAACATGGTGAAACCCCATCTCTACTAAAAATACAAAAAATTAGCTGGGCGTGGTGGCACATGCCTGTAATCCCAGCTACTCAGGAGGCAGGAGAATTGCCCGAACCCAGGAGGCGGAGGTTGCAGTGAGCCGAGATCCCGCCATTGCACTCCAGCATGGGTAACAAGAGCGAAACTCCCTCTCAAAAAAAAAAGTACATTATCACACCTGTGTCTATCCATGAACACGCCAGCCTGTTTGGAGAAAAGAAGACAGGAAGGTACCCGTGAAAGGTTGACAGTGGCTACAGTCTGGAAGAGTCTCATGTTTACCTGTGATACATCAGACCCTGTGTTAAGTGCTTCAGTCGGATGAGGGAGAGACCATCACCCTCATTCTGAGAAGAGGGGAAAACAGCCTTCAGGCATTGCTGCCTGCTCCTTGGGTCCATCCCCAAAGTTCTCCAAGCATTTCACCTCGTCACAGGTGAGCCAGTTACATAGGGGAATATGTCTTCCCCAACATATGGGTTACAAAGTCCTTGAGCACTGGGTCCACATTGGATTCACACTTAGACCCCACAAAACCTAGCAGACTCTTTCCCGCAGGCCAGTTACAGTATCTGTTCAATAAATGAAGACCACATGGAAGTCATTTCCAAAACAAGCTCGGGTAAATATTGACTGCAGGCAGTAACAGTAACAGTGCATTTCACCCTTTATTGGTACCAGCTAATGTGCCGGTATTGGGGCTTATGTGCCATACAGTTAGACGTCACCTAACTTTCGCTGCTGTTATGTCTCGGGTGAGCCTGGCTACCTCTGACCTCCAAAGGAAGTGTGGTGCTCCCACTAGAGGAGTTTTCCAGTGGGAACTCTGAAGACTAGGAATGGGTACATGTAAAGTGCCAGACCAGGGGCCAGAGTGGAGGTTCCCCCTCAAGGGTCTCACTCTGTCGCCAGGCTGGAGTGCAGTGGTGTGATCTTAGCTCACTGAAATCTCCGCCTCCTGGGTTCAAGCGATTCCCCTGCCTCAACCTCCTGAGTAGCTGGAACTATAGGCGCATACCACCACACCCGATTAATTTTTTGTATTTTAGTAGAGATGGGGTTTCACCGTGTTGGCCAGGTTGGTCTCGATCTCCTGACCTCCTGATCTGCCTGCCTTGGCCTCTCCAAGTGTTGGGATTACAGGTGTGAGCCACCATGCCCAGGCTTCTTTTTTTTTTTTGAGATGGAGTCTTGCTCCTTCGCCCAGGCTGGAGTGCAGTGGCATCATCTCAGCTCACTGCAACCTCTGCCTCCTGGGTTCAAGTGATTCTCCTGCCTCAGCCTCCCGAGTAACTGGGATTATAAGAATGCATCACCACGCCTTTTTGTGTTTTTAGTAGAAATGGGTTTTCACCATGTTGGCCAGGCTGGTCTCAAACTTCTGACCTCAGGTGATCCACCTGCCTCAGCCTCCCAAAGTGCTGGGATTGCAGGCGTGAGCCATGGCACCCAGCCCCACCTCAAGGGTCTGTAAAGATGATGCAGTGAGCACTCCGGAGTGTGTTGTCAGGGAGGAGGAGAACACTGTATGCCACTGTTTAACCAAGGAAGGGAAGGGAATGAGAATACATCTTCATATTTGCTTCCTTTTTTCATGAAAACACACTGGGAGGATGAGCAGTAAGAGTCATGACAGAGGGTGAGTGGAGAGTGGAGCCTGTTTCTGAGCATGCTGAGTTTTGACTTTAGAATCCTGTAAATTACCTTAAAACACCTAACAACAAAGCAGCCCTTGGTTGGGTGTGGTGGCTCACGCCTGTAATCCCAGCACTTTGGGAGGCCAAGGTGGGCAGATCTCGACGTCAAGAGATCGAGACCATCCTGGCCAACATGGTGAACTCCATCTCTACTAAAAAAAAAAAAAAAAAAAAAATAGCTGGTCGTAGGGGCACTTGCCTGTAATCCCAGCTACTCCCGAGACTGAGGCAGGAGAATCGCTTGAACCCGGGAGGTGGAGGCTGCAGTGAGCCGAGATCATGGCCATTACACTCCAGCCTGGCAACAGAGTGATTTCATCTAAAAAAAAAAAAAAAGCAGCCCTTGTACCACCATGGGACGTCCTTGAGTCATGTACACTTGACTAACCCGCAGAAGCAAGCTTTCGGCACAGTGGCAGGTGGAGACTGCACCCTTCCTGCGGCAACTGATGGGGCTGTCACTGCCGCTGCCACCACTGTCAAAGCCACCCTGAGGAAGGACCCTGCTTCATCTGTGCCAGCTTGGCTGGTCTTCTGACCTGAGTCAAATAGTCCAAACTTTCCCTGTTGATTCAGCACTGGAGGGGCTGCAGCGACCCACTGTTCTTCCCTAGAACAAGATCATGCCTTTGAACAGCCACTGAGCATGGAGTGACACAACCCTGACAGCCATCTCCTGCCCACCCACTTCCACCCAGTGGGCTCCTGCCATTTGGGTCTGATGCAGCCTAGCGCTTCACCTAGGACGAGTGGGGCAGCATGTGGCTTTTCCAGGGCACAGGGCTCTAGACTACAATTATTGTTTTGAGACAGGGTCTCAATCTGTCACCCAGACTGGAGTGCAGTGGTGTGATCATGGCTCACTGTAGTCTGAACCTCCTGGACTCAAGGGACTCTCCCATTTCAGCCTCCTAAGTAGCTGGGACCACAGGTATGCACCCCAACTCTTGGCTAATTATTTTCCTTTTTGTAGAGTTGGGTGTCTGGCTATGTTGCCAGGCTGGTCTCAAACTTCCAGGCTCAAGTGATCCTCCCATCTTGACCTCCCAAAGTCCTGAGCTTGCAGACATTAGCCACCACACTTGGCCTATTATTTTTACTGGAGATGGAACCCTGATATGTTGCCCAGGCTGGTCTTGAACTCCTGGACTCAGGTGATCTGCCTCAGCCTCCAGGACGGCTGGGACTACAGGTGTGCCTGGCAGCAGCTCAGTGCCTGCAGGGGCAGCTGGCAAAGCCACTGGAGCTTCTGGCCCAACCTGGAACCTGGTGAGCTCCTCCTCACCCTCCCAGGGCTCAGTGCCCAAGATGCTGGGTCTGGCCCAACAGGTTGGCCATATGCCACTCTCCCCTCACAATTGGCTCCACTTGTCACCCAGCACTGAGGAGCTGCCCTTTGTCTCTTGGACTATCCCCTGCCTGCCTCTCCCAAGGGTGTGGACTCACTAGGGCAGGTACCATGTGTTGGTTTATTCACCACTCTTGTCATGGTCCTGACCGACACATCACACAAGCCAAGGTGGACTTTCCTCCAAGGAATGCTTTATTGACAAATTACCCATTATTACAACTTTAGGGAAAAGATACATCAGTTACACCTGTGCAGCCCACCTTCTCACCACATCCCACAGGCTGATTTTAACCCTGGACAAAGGGCACCTAGGGCTGGGGTTCCCCAGCCCCTGCGTCTTTACCGTGTGTGGAGTGCCGTCCCCAAGGGTGTCTGAACTGTCTGGGGACACGACTGTCAGAGGACACAAGCTCTACAAGTAGAGCACCTTAAGCTGAGCAGCCCTTCCCCCCAGGAGTGGTAGAGCCGTGTACACAGCAGGCAAGCCCTCATCATCCTTCCAAGAGCCACTAAGGCACAGAGCTGCCCCTGCAGACCATGCCACCCGACACGCGGGGCCCCGGTGTGAGAGAAGCTGTCGGGGTCTGACCGCTTAAAAACAAGAGATCTTTGTAGCTCATGAGAAAAGGCGACAGCAATCCTGGCTGATGACCATGCCCCACCCTCCATCTGACCTGTGGGGTCGTTTCATCCCAAGTGCATCAAACAGGCCGGCTGGAGTCACTGACGAGTGCCAGCCAGCCGGGCCAGGCCCATGCAGAGGCAGCACTGTGAAGGGGCACAGCTTTTTTAAAGGGTGCTAAAGACAAGCTTTTCCTTCTCTTGGCCCCTCCCATCCCCAGCAGCTTAAGCTCTTTGGGGCAGAGCGGGGCAGCCAGTGGGAGCAGACAAGGTTGAGAAGATAGGCAGGTTTTGTAAACTGGGATGGAGTGTGCATGAAATAAAACACCCAACTGAACAGGCTGCCACGCAGGCTAGGTGTAAAATTGCCCACTGTGCTCAAAACCATTAAGGAACCCTCACCTATATACATATAAAAATTACAAAGAAATAAAGCATAAGGCAATGTAAGGCTTGTATTTCAGCTTGAGTCTGAAGAAATAATATTCTCTATGAGGCTAAAGCTGCTTTGCCTAATTTTAATTCTTGAAAAGTCCACTGCATTCAAAAAATAATGAATTTGCTTCTGTTAAAGCTAGATTAGTGGAACAGTTAGGCAGCTGCTGCTGATCAGTTTCCTTTCTGGGGGGGGTCTCAAAACAGTTTTCTGGTTTAGCATTTTGAGATCAAAAAATTGCGGCAGGTAGGACTTGCTGGGTTATTGCATTCCTTCTGAGAGTCAGGGAAGGAGGAGGAGGAAGGGGTCAGAAAATGCCACTTATTTTATGCTTAGGACTCTTCAATTCTTCAACATTCTGATGGGCTAGCAAGATTCCCAAAGGGAGCCTGGGTTTTGGCTCAATCCTCTGAAAGCCTCCACCCCATCCACTTCCTGCACCCCTAGGAAGGACACAGCAGTGATCTGCTTCATTATAAACTTTAGTGTAAAATGTCTGTGTACAAGACTGTGTTCTCTAATTCATGCGAACGCAGCAGCTACATCTCCCTGTGGATGGGCAGGACTGTCCTCCAAGCCAGCTCTGCTCATCCGCCTGGCTGGCTGCGCAGAGCTGCGGCTGCGTTGCTGAGGGTGTGCTGCGTGTGCTCTGCGGTAGGCGAAGCAACCTCAGGCTTAGAAAGGTGCGGGATCCGACAGAGGCTTGTCACTGCTCCCCGCTGAGGAAGGGAGGCTGTCACTGCCATTCTCTCTGTCACCCACAACCTTAGACTACAGGAGAGAAAAGATCAAGAAAGAAAAACCTGAGACAGAGCACACACAGGAGGCAGATCCCAGGCCCATGCTCAATGCTCTACAAAAGCTTCTGTCACATGAACACTGCTCAGCAATGACAGGGAGCAAATCCCGGCGGGCACCAGCCCAGACAGGCCTCCAAAAAACTAAGCTGAAAGAAGACAGTGAATGCCAAAATGCTACATGGTGCCATTCCATTTATGTGACGTTCTTGAAATGACAACATTATACAAATGGAGAGTGGACTAGCGGTTGCTGGGGGCAGGACAGGAGGTGCCAGGACACGCAGTGGGGAGGCGTTCTACGTCCTGAGGGCGAGACTACACTACAGTGCTTACCAAGATGTTATCGCAGGAGAGACCTGTGTAAGAGGCACAGGACCTCTGTGTGTTATTTCCTACAACTCCATGTGAATCCACAATGACTAAATGACTGGTAACAAACAAGCTGATGTGAGTGACAGGTCACACCCTGTTAAGAACATCGGTCGGATAGTCCTGGCTCAATTACCTTTATGGTCCCAACTCGGTCCTCAAATGACTTGAAGGTTGCAGAGTTCCTTTAAAGAGAGAGGGAAGAGTGCTGGTGTCAAGAGCCACTGGGGGTGCTGCCCTCCTAACTCTGAAGGGCCTCGGGGCGAGGGCCAGCTTCCAAATGGTCCCTAACAACAGCCCAAGATCTCACTGCAAAAATGTGACACATCCAGGTCATTCCAGAGACTCCCCGGGTCAGAAGTGAGGTTTCCCAGGCCCAACAACCACAGGGACAGGCCCAGACATCAAACAAGGCCACTGAAAACCCCGTGACTGTGCAGCTAGGGGTATCAGCCCCTCTGTGCTATACCCTAAAGGTACACCTTTGGCTCTTGTACTGGGGTTATGAAGTCGGGTTCTTCACGCACATCTCTAGAGAACAGAAGGGAAAACCAAGGATGCTTCTGGGACAGCAGAGTGATTGATAAGGAGACAGAGGAGGAGAAAGCAGGGCAGGCCAGCTCCATCCCACTCAGTCTCTCCCACACAACCAAATACCCGCCCCAGGCCCGGGGCCTCCAGAGGCCACCATGTCTGCAACACCCAGCCAGAGTCCCTACAAGGAGAACAGGGCTCTCTTAAGAATCACGGACCACAGCTCTGAGTGTTTCCATGAAGGCTGAGCCCCGTGATGTGTCCTGAGAGCAAGTGCCAGGATCTGTGTGCGAGCCTCTTAAACCCCGCCCTAGCCAGGGCCAGGACTTGGAAAGGACATGGCCCAGTTTCACACAAGGATCTCCTCTGGAGGCTGCAGGATAAGAGCCTGACCCCTACCAGGAATCCTTGCCAGCCTAGAAGGGGATCTTTCCTAGCCCTTAGCCCTCAGGAGGTTGCCAAGGGAATGGTGTCCTTAATGAATCCAGGGATATGGGAAGGGCCAGGAGCGACCAGTGGCCCCAACCCCCAAGAGAGCCACTCGGCTCTGGAGCCACAGTGGGCAGCATACGTTACCTCATGGCTGGCATACTTATTGAGTGGCGGATGGAGTAGCTGCTGCTTGGAAGCACGGCAGAAGCAGAGAAGGAAGCAAGAGTTAACACCGAGGTCCACAGACAACTCAACTTGGTGGGCACAGCCAGAGCTGGGACTCCCCCACTCCCAGCAGTTGGCGAGAGCTGCCTGCCCATCCACACAACGCCCCCAAAGGAAAACTCCACCCCAGGGTCCTCCCTTGGCCTCATGAGGGGCACCCCAAATTGCCCAGCGCATAGCATAGGGGGAGGAGAGCAGTGCGTAGGGAAGCTGGAAGGGGACCAGGCCTGGGCTTTTGAAGAGCATTTGGTTCAAACAGCCTTCAGATGCCCTTACTTGACTTCAGCAAGTTAAAGGGCCTTTTGGCAAACAAGAAACAACCAGGTCAAGTAAAAACATGAAATCACAGGTTGCTCTGGACCTGGCTCTAGACCTCCGGGTTCCAGCCAGAAGGGCAGGTGCTGGCCTGGAAAAGCCCACTCTGGTCAGAGGGCCCTGTGGGAGGAGCACCTCCGCTCTCAGGTCATAAACATGACAAAACTTGATCTGAAGGAAAACCAGAAAGCAGGACTCATGTTTATCAGGAAGGGCGGTGAGAGGGTCGGCACAGCTCTCCCACATGAAAATATTTTCTGAGGAGTAAGCTCAGGAGTGGACGCCAGGTCAGCTATTCACTGACCCGGGAGCAGGTGGCCTGCGAGCCTGGGTAAGAAGCACAAGGAGGGACGTAGAAGTGTCGGGGGCTGGGAGGGTTCCAGGGGGAACTCTGCGTCCATCCCATGCTGCTGCTTTGTTCCCCGAGATGCAGCAACCACCTAGCTGGCACCGCTGGGAGGGGTGATCCCACTTTTACCCGCCCTCCAGCAGCACAGCCTCCCACAGGCCCTGCCAGAGCCCACCTTGCCCCGATTCACAGAAAAGTCTTCCACAGGTGTCCAGGCTCAGCCTTACCTAAAGGAGTGTGAGAACGGATGAGCCCTGGAAGGTGGCAGCAGGAGAGAAGAGGAAATGCAGCGTAAGCATGGTGGGAGGCCAGCACCCACTCACAGCCCTCTGTGCAGAGCCCCAAGCCCCCCGCTCATGCTCAGAAGACCCTCCAGGACGGCAGGGGAAAACCCTCCAGAATGGCTCCTCCAGTCCACACACGGTCAGGGAGAACAGCCCTGTCTCCAGTCTCCTCAAATCCTGACTCAACAGGAGGACCCGTGAGCTCGTGACTAGCAACTGCTCAGCCCTGTGGCTGTGCACAAGAGGCCCCCATCCATGCCCTGTCCATGCCTTACGTCCCAGGACACACCCGTTTGGAGGCTGGAGAAAAGCCACAGCACCAGGAGCACGACTGGCCCCATCCAGCCATGCAAAGGTGTGAAATGTGCCACGGCACCACAGCTGGGCTTGGCCGGCTCCGTAGAACCAGAGCAGCCCGTGTGCCCCTAAGCGAGTCAGCTGTGGGAACACAAGTCCTGTGGGAGGATGTGGGACACCCCTGGTGCCAAGCATGTCTGCCCTGAGCTCTATCCATGCACACAGACCCCAACCTGGAAACCTGTGTGTCCAAGGGCAGCTGCTACCACACACTGCAGCCAGTTCCACTCCGACATGGAGGGAGCCACTGAAGAACCCACAAATGCTCAACTCACTCGAGGTTTCGAGATGGCAGGTGCCTCGTCTAGGAGACCATGGAGCTGGATGGTGACCGACCCTGGTGTAAACCCCTCTCTGACCTGCGTCCAGTGCCCCTTCCCCCATCCCCATCGCCGGTGCTCCAGGGCAGGCCCATCACAGACGTGGGTGCTGGCAGCTGGCCCAAGGAGCTTCCACCCAAGGGTCAGGAGGGTCTGCTGGGTTTATCCAGCCCTAACTCAGGATATAACCCTCCCAGAGCCTAATTTTTCCTTTCAGGGAGCAGAGAGCTCTCAATCTCAGTCTCTAAGTCAAGATGTTAATGGGCCCAGACCTCAGAAACCACCTGTTACTTCTTGGAGATGAGGGGGATACACCAGGGGCTCCAGATGTCAGAGTTTACACCACTACAAACACAAACGGAGGAGCAAGCAGGGCAGGACACAGCAGCACACAGGACACCACCATGGGCACGGTGAACACGGCCGGCCACAACAGCACACAGGACACTACCACGGGCACTGTGAACACAGCAGGACACAGCACACAGGGCACCACCACGGGCACCGTGAACACGGCTGACCACAGCAGCACACAGGACACCACCACGGGCACCGTGAACACAGCCGGCCAACTGGAACGGAGCTGGCTCCTCCCAGGTCAGCCTGAGGCCCCGCTCACCCCAGTCAGCCCCATGTACCAGGGCACACGTACAAACACATGACACACTGTGGCCAGGCACACTGACAGAGCTGAGCCAGTGTCACTGCAACAGGAACTCTGCTCACTCCCAGCCACATCCTGAGGCTACACAACAGAGAGAGCTGTCAACCCCAGGCCTGAGGAGAGCAAGAGCCTTTCTCCCCATCAGAAGAGAGGGAGCAGAGAACCGGGACTGTGTCCCTGTGCTTCCCAAGAAAACAGGCCACACACAGAACTGCCAGGATCAAAACAGCCAGGACTGGCTTGTGCGCAGCTATTCCAGTCAGTGCCAAGGCTCTGCCTGCCCCTTGGATTTCCACCACGATACTCTCAAACTCAAAAGGGAGTGAGATGCCTCCTGATGGCTGGTGTAACTTAGGCATGGCAGACACCTGCTGCCTCCTGAAGATGCTCTGTGCTGAGACTGGCATTTTCAGGAAGAAACAGCACTGCGAGGCCAAGCCCAGCTGAAACTCAGGAGGTGGGTGCAAAGCTCAGCCGGGGGGGGGGGACCTGCACTGTAGGGTGCCCCACAAGGACCCCCCGAGTCACAGCTGCTAGGGAGCATGGAGCCCTGGACGTGTGAGGGTATACAGAGGAAATACACACATTGCATACTGATGACTGTGCAGCTTCTCCAGTTTAACACCTCTTGAAATAGAAGTTGCAGGGACGGGAGGGTAGATTACCTCAAACAAATTTTTTTTTTTTTTTTTTGAGACGGAGTTCCGCTGTTGTTACCCAGGCTGGAGTGCAATGGCACGATCTCGGCTCACTGCAACCTCTGCCTTCTGGGTTCAAGCAATTCTCCTGCCTCAGCCTCCCATGTAGCTGGAACTACAGGCATGCACCACCATGCCCAGCTAATTTTTGTATTTTTAGTAGAGACAGGATTTCACCTTATTGACCAGGATGGTCTCGATCTCTTGACCTCGTGATCCACCTGCCTCGGCCTCCCAAAGTGCTGGGATTATAGGCGTGAGCCACCGTGCTCGGCCCAACAAACAAAATTAAAAGTAGGCACAGCTCCTGGGCACGGGGCATGCCCTCTGCCTGGTAGGGTGGGTCCCTGGGCCGTGCCCTCTGCCTGGCAGGGTGGGTCCCTGGGTGTGTGGCCGTGTGTCCTGGCCTCTGGCTCAGTGGTCAGGGGAAGGGGCTGGTGCAGGACGACCCCCACCTGGCAACCCCAGGCTGGAAGGCAGGACACACCTAACCTAAGGCAGGCAGACAGGGAGCAGCGAGCCAGCCCAGCAGGAGATGCACCCATCTTTGAATCTTGCATGGGCCACAAGAGAGGAAGAGGAGAGGACTCAGGGGGTCAGTGCTGTGACCACACACCGGCCCTCCAGGAACCTCGCACCCACCTTTGCCATGATTGGGTCAGAGCTACAGGGAGGCACTCCCTGAGATCCAAAAGCCAGAAGACCACTTCTGAGAAAGGGAAAGGGGTCAGGGCAGGGTGGGCAACAGCACCCAGAGGCTGGAACATGCCAGTGACGGGGACAATTCACATCATCCACTCACACAGCCCTGTGAAGGAAGGCCTGACTAAGGCCCAGCCAGGAGGTAGCCCAGCTGAGCATCATACCCAGGCCTCTGGCTCAATCCCCTCATCACCATGCTGTGGTCGAGGAGCCCAGAGCAGGGCAGGCAGGGCAGATGTGCCAGCCACAAAGTGCCGGCCCCCTGCTCAGTCCTTGGGCCCAGGCTGCTTGCTGAGGGACCTCTGACGGCCAGGTGGCTGTCACCAGTCTCCAGGAGAGAAGGCTCATTCAGGGCCTCCTGGTATCTGACTGCGCTCTCTGAGACCTGGGCAATACCCTGAGGAAGCGCCACGCCGAACACCTGTCCTGGAGATGGTGGAGGACTGCCGTCCCACCCTGACCCTAACCCCCAGGCTGGGGTCGCTGCCTCTCAATGAGGTGTCAAGGAGCATACTCCTCCCTCACCAACCCTGAGCACTACAAGTCACCCAAGGGCACTGATAGCCGCCCTCCTTGAAGAACACAGAAATGGCAGAACAGGCCAGGCGCATGCGGTGGCTCACACCTGTAATCCTAGCAATTTGGGAGGCTGAGGTGGGTGGATCACCTGAGGTCAGGAGTTCAAGACCAGCCTAGCCATCATGGTGAAACCCCATCTTAAAAATAAATGAGTAAATAAACAAATAAATAAATAAAAAGAAAGAAATGGCAGAACAGCAGCCAATGGGAATGGACAAACCTCTCAGGCAAGGGTCCGCACACAGACTGGTTGGGGGCCATGATGGCCACATCCCTGAGCCAGTGCGCCTATGCCCTGATCTCCAGGCAGGCTTCCTGTAGCGCCTCCAATGCCTCACCCTGCACTGGCCCTGGCCAGGTCTCGGGGCAGCAGGGTCAGGGTCAGGGTCAGGTCTCACCTCATGTCTCCAAGCTTCCTGCTGATGGCAGAGCCCACTGTGGACAGGGCAGCTGAAGTCTTCTGTCCCGCCTGTGAAAGGGTTTCCTGAGTCTTCTTGTAGCTGGAAGAATACACACCAGTTAAACCAACCAGACAGCATGGGTGGGCCACCACCCACAGCCAAGCAAAGCACAGGGAGCGAGCCCAAGGGAAACCAAGGAAAGGAGCTGGAGCGAGGGGTGGATGCTCGCCAGGTGGCTGTGGAGGGGTGCAGGCCCAGAGCCCCTTGGCCCCCAGAGGCCCCTGCAGCGAGGAGCAGCCTGTGCTGTGCTTGCCCAGGAGTCTCAACAACACTGTGAGTCACGGCCCGTAGCCCTGCAATGACACTGCCTTCTCATCTCACAGTCCAACTCCACCCCTCACCCGACACCTACTGAGCCCACTGTCCGGACTTCTCACAGTCCCTCTGACTACAGAGAAGACACCCCATCTGCCTGCTAGAGAGCGATGGGCCCCCCTGAGGTGCAGGCGTGTAGGCAGTGCCAAAGCAGAAAGGCCTCTCCGATCCTTAACCCTAACACATTCGTACAGGTCCCCTTTCCTCTTCCCACGAGACCGTACTGAGGGGAGAAAACGCAGCTCAACCAGGCCTGTGGGAGACGAGCTTCACAGCATGGCCATGCGGCCCACAAGGAGCCCTGTGTGCTCCACGGGGACATGGGACAATTCCATTCCCAGGCCTCTTCTCACAGTGCCCCTAGTGAAGGCCTGCTTCCACCCCCTCCAGCTCCCCAGGTGTCCACCCACATGGTGCATCCCACCAAATGAAATTTCCAGGGCTTCGGTGCCCACGGGACAGGCCAAGGGCAGCGGGCAGGATGCTACGGCTGCAGGGACACGCGGGCCACCCTAACAGTCAACGCCTGACATCGCTGGCCCTCATCCAGCTGCTGCTGTAAGCACAGCCTCCAGTAACAAAGCCCACAACCAAAATGCGAACCCACAGCCACTTACCACAGCTCCTCCCTGAATGAAGTCAGGGAGCTCAGGCTGAATAGAGACGGGCTCCCAGGGCCATCCTGGCATTGCCAGTGCCAACCTAGAGAGCTGGCAAGCCCAGGCTATGACTGTGGCATCTGGAATGGGTGCCAGGGAAGGCACAAGCTCCTCCCACTCCCGATAGCCACACCAGATCCCAGCAGGCACCAACGACGACGAGCCTTCCGAAGCACTCCCTGCAGGAGGCCCCGTGTGAGCAGAATGCTGCTACTCACTAGTCCCCAGCTGCTGACATGAATGTGGAACACAGCAGGTGACTGCTGACAGCACATCCTAGCACAGAGCTCTCGTGCCCGCCCGGTGCCTGCTCGGGCCCCCAGCCCAAGGCCTACCCAGATGATGCACTTTTTTTTTTTTTCGAAATGCACCTGTCGCCCAGGCTGGAGTGCACTGGTGCGATCTCGGCTCACTGCAACCTCTGCCTCTGATTCTCCTGCCTCAGCCTCCCAAGTAGCTGGGATTACAGGCACCCACCACGACGTCCGGCTAATTTTGTATTTTTAGTACAGACGAGGTTTCACCATGTTGGCCGGGCTGGTCTCAAACTCCTGACCTAAGGTGATACACCCATCTCAGCCTCCCCAAGTGCTGGGATTACAGGTGTGAGCCACCGTGCCTGGCCCAGAAGATGCACTTTCTCATCCAGACTGTGCAGCTGGAACCATGGCTGTTTTTGGTTTTTGTTGTTGTTTTTAAATAAAACACCAGGTATAAATAACTAATGACTTGCTACATTTAGTTTCAAAAATATAAATTCTGAAAACATCTTCAACCTTGATTTTCCCTGAAATAACAAAGGCAAAAAAGCATGAACATTCTGTGGTTTGCTGAAGCAAAGTCACCTGCAGCAGAGGATTCTAAGGTCCTTACAGCACCTGCATTTCTGCTCAAAGAGTGGGGATGAAAAACTGAAGTCGGAGAGAAAACAACCACCTGTGCCTGGCACTGCCTTCAGAATGAGACAGGGGTCCTCAGCGTTACCTGTGGGTGGGTAAGGACCACCCACCCGAGGAGGAGGAGGGTCCTGACGGTCACGCTGACACAAGGGGCCACTGTGGTCCATGCTGTGCCATGCCATAAACCACACTCAAGCCCTGGTGGCTCCACAGCCCGCACATTACTTGGGTGTGAGGACAAGGGGTCACAAGGGAACCTCCTCTGGAAATAGGAGCCTCCAAACTTCAGATGGTCCTGGAAGCATTGGGTATCCCCTGCACGGCCTGAGGCCCCCAGCAGCACCTCCCTGGCCTTCTCTTCCTACAATACGGCTATGGCTCTGACCTCTCCTTTCCCCTTCTTAGTCCCATCCTGGGCCTCCGAAGTGGTGGCAGCAGCAGCTGTGAGGTCCCCCTTCCAAGGCTCACAGGGCTGCAAGTCTGTTCTGAGAGCCTCAAACACGCAGGCACACACATTCCTCAAATGAATCAGAAGACAGGGCTGTTATTACTCCATGACAGACGAGGACGGGGCAGGGCTCAGAGCCAGCATCTGCATCCAATAACCACCTTCAGCTGTACTTGAGAGCGCCAGGCCGGGCAACCGCAGCCAGAACCCATTTGGGAGTTACTAAGACCTTCTAGGAAGAGAGCCCTGGACAGAGCAGTTTCATCCCATGGCCAGTAAGCTGTCCCCTGGCCAGCACAGGGCATCTGGTGGACATCCTGGCACTCCCGCTCTCCTGAGTCTTCTTCTGGTGGCTGCCCCCACTTCCACTCTGGGTGGACAGGTGATCCAGGCCTGGCCAGAGCACACCACCTCCCAGGCCACAGCCATTGGTCCAGGGAGACCCACAGGGGCCACACTGCTAGGCTGCGGCACTGGAACAAGGGCTTCTCTGCTGGGTGAGTGCTCCCGTCACCTACAACCAAAACAACTCAAAATGAACCAGCTCGTAACTCCAGAATCTACACAATGCCCTCTCAGCACTGGGATATTTTTTTTTTTTTTTTTTTGAGATGGAGTTTTGCTCTTATTACCCAGGCTGGAGTGCAATGGCGCGATCTCGGCTCACCGCAACCTCCGCCCCCTGGGTTCAGGCAATTCTCCTGCCTCAACCTCCTGAGTAGCTGGGATTACAGGCACATGCCACTGTGCCCAGCTAATTTTTTGTAATTTTAAGCAGAGACGGGGTTTCACCATGTTGACCAGGTTGGTCTCGATCTGCCGACCTCGTGATCCACCCGCCTCGGCCTCCCAAAGTGCTGGGATTACAGGCTTGAGCCACCGCGCCCGGCAGCACTGGGATTTTTAGTTAGCTCTGCCTATAAATAGAATCCAACAAGGCAATCATTTTGCCACTCACAAAAAGGGCTGCTCTCGAAGTCAGACATGAGCCACTGAGGAGAACGTGGCCGCATCGCAGCCTCACAGGGCCAAGCACCAGCACTCCACTCCACTCACCCACTCCACTCCTTCCCATTCTCCAGGCTGCCCCTGGCTGAAAGAGTTTACAAACAAGTGGGTCAGGATGCAGGGAGCTTTGATTGCCTTCCTCTGCAAGGGCTCTGGGCAGTGGAGGCGGCCCACAGCCCATCTCCTGAAACCTGACTAGGAGAGGCACCAACCAGGAGGAGCACATGCCTCGGCCACATCCTCAGGCCCCACCTGCTGAGCCCCATCCCTTCCACCTGGGTCATCCCGGTAGAGACCATTATTCTCTGCCTGGGCCGTCCTGTCCCAGTAGGGACCATCACCCCCACTTAGGCAGTCCAGATAGAGACCATTGCCCTCACCTGGGATGTCCGGGTAGTGACCACTGCCCTGCCCCGCCCCACCCCGTCCGCCCCGTCTGCCTCCCCCTCCTCCAGGCTGTCGGGACAGAAACGCTTCCACTCTGGAGCTGCCAGTTTCACAGGTCTCCCCCAAGAACCGGGAGTGAAACCTCAAGAAAATGGCCTCTGCCAGGGGACGCATCAGCCATATGCATCCATGCTGAGCCACAGGTTTCTCCAGAGGGGTCAGGATTCTGAGAGCTGTAAGCAAGCCCTCTGAAACACTGTTTGGAATAGGATCCCGGCACCTTTTTTTTTTTTTTTTTTTTTTTGAGACGGAGTTTCACTCTTGTTACCCAGGCTGTAGTGCAATGGCGCAATCTCGGCTCACCGCAACCTCCGCCTCCTGGGTTCAGGTAATTCTCCTGCCTCAGCCTCCCGAGTAGCGTAGCTGGGATTACAGGCACACGCCACCATGCCCAGCTAATTTTTGTATTTTTAGTAGAGACGGGGTTTCACTGTGTTGACCAGGATGGTCTCAATCTCTTGACCTTGTGATCCACCCGCCTCGGCCTCCCAAAGTGCTGGGATTACAGGCGTGAGCCACCGCGCCCCCGGCACCTTTTTTGTGTCAGTTGGTTTACAGAATAGCACTGAAGTCTCCTAAGACTGAGTCTGCACTGTGCATCTGCCTGATGCCCAGACTGCAAGGATGACCATCACTGTCCCAACCTAAGAAACATCTGCAGGCCGGGCACAGTGGCTCACGCCTGTAATCCCAGCACTTTGGGAGGCCGAGGCGGGCGGATGAGCAGGTCAAGAGATCAAGACCATCCTGGCCAACATGGTGAAACCATGTCTCTACTAAAAATACAAAAAATTAGCTGGGTGTGGTGGCTTGCGCCTGTAGTCCCAGCTTCTTGGGAGGCTGACGCAGGAGAATTGCTTGAACCTGGGAGGTAGAGGTTGCAGTGAGCCAAGATCGTGCCACCGCACTCCAGCCTGGCGCCTGGCAACAGAGCAAGACTGTATCTCAAAAAAAAAAAAAAAAAAAAAAGAAAGAAAGAAAGAAAGATCTGCAGCCCAGCAAAGTCACTGTTCAATGCAGCCCTAAAGACACAGCCCGCCAGTGCTCCTGGAACACCCAGGTCAACAGCTGGCTGCTGCAGCTGTGCCCATAAACTGCCAGGTCCTAACACTGCCCCTCACTGTGACACCAGACACAAAGGCTCCACAAACACAGAGCGCCAGCCTGGCCCCCCAAGACCTTCAAGACAAGCTTGCCAGCAACTACTTCCTTTCAGCCAAACATGGGAGGACTTTCTGCCCGTCTTCTGTGGCAACCATAACAGTACTTCCTTCTAAATAACTGATGGAAAGCTCCCACAGTGACTATTTAAAATATTCCGCTACTCAGTTTAAAGAAGTTATAATCATATCAGAGCACAAATCAATGAAGTGCAATTATCTAGCTGAAGGATTTCCAAACATTAGGAGTCACTCTGAACTACACCCGACACACACACACATACAACTATCCACACTAATCCACATTGGCTGATGATCCGACAGTGTGGTGCCTCCCAGACCACCAGGACTTTGAATTCCACCAGCACATCCTACACCACACCCTCCACTCAAGAACTGCCTCTAAAGGATGAACAGAATTCTGAGACCCACCAGCTGGAGCTAAGCAGGGAAAAGGGTTGGGGTTAGAACAAAAATTTGCCACCAACAAAATCAGGCCAAATGGTGTTGTCCGGCTTGTGCACTGTGGGAAGCCAAGCAGCTCTATTAGTGAGAGATGACGCCAGGACCAGTGCAGCCCTCTTATATATGGGATGTGTCAGGCAGAGGGGAGTTTTAAGTGTGGTCAGGTGGCTGAGAGAGTTTCCTTCAGCTACTACTCCCTGTTCCACAAAAGTTTAAAGGATAGTTTAGCTAAGAGAGGAAAAGTAATATTAAGAAAATATAGCCAGCAAACACCAAAACAAGCTTTGTGCTAAGCATGCACACCCCCCTTCCCTGACTGAGGCAGAGAGGAGGAAGGAGCAGGTGTTGAGGGCACAGGCACTCACAGGTCTGACTGGGTCACCTTCTCATTCCACTCTCCAAGTTTCTCAGAAGTTTTCACATAGCTAAAAACAGAAAGTCTACAGTGAATTATTTAGAAGAACAATTTTAACTCAGGCTTCAAACTGCAGGTGAGGTTCCAAGGAAGACAAAGAAGGACCAGCTGGCAGGAACATCAGCTCCACAGACAGCCTGAGAACAGGGTCCAGGGCCCCTAACACGCCCCATGCAGGCCCCAGGCCGCCAGGTGAGCTTTGGGGGACTGGAAGGGCACAGCCCACAGCTCCAAAACACCTTGGGATTGAAAACTTATGATGTCCTAGGACAAAAACCTGGGCTTTTCATATGTGAGATTTATGAAGCGTGACTTGATCTTTCTGTGGGAACATGGCTTCTGGGAAGCATTCCACGCCCGCCCCACCTTGAAGGTCATGTTTCAGAAGAGCCAGGTAGAAAGGGCCAAGTGAGAAAGCAGCAGGCCCCAAGTTCAGAGGGCTGGGCCACACCTGAGACAGAGATCCCAGGGTTACAGGACTGTGTGGTCATGAAAGGTCAAAGCAGCAGGCCCCAAGTTCAGAGGGCTGGGCCACACCTGGGACAGAGATCCAAGGGTTACAGGACCGTGTAGTCATGAAAGGTCAAAGCAGCACGCGCCAAGTTCAGAGAGCTGGGCCACACCTGGGACAGAGACCCCAGGGTTACAGGACCGTGTAGTCATGAAATGTCAGAGGCCCTAGGGTTGTGGGACAACATGATCATATCTGGTTTTTTTTTTTTTTTCAATTATTTTATTTTATTTATTTTTTTGAGACGGAGTCTTGCTCTGTCGCCAGGCTGGAGTGCAGTGACGCAATCTCGGCTCACTGCAACCTCTGCCTCCTGGGTTCAAGCAATTCTTCCGCCTCACCCTCCCGAGTAGCTGGGACCATGCCACCATGCCCGGCTATTTTTTTGTATTTTTAGTAGAGACGGGGTTTCACCATGTTGGCCAGGATGGTCTTGATCTCTTGACCTCGTGATCCGCCTGCCTCGGCCTCCCAAAGTGCTGGGATTATAGGCATGAGCCACCGTGCCCAGCCCTGTATTTTTTAAGACAGTCTTGCTCTGTTGCCCAGGATGGAGTGCAGTGGCACAATCTTGGCTTATTGCAACCTCCACCTCCCAGGTTCAAGAGATTCTCCTGACTCAGCCTCCCCAGCAGCTGGGATCACAGGTGCACATCACCATACCCAGCCAAATTTTTGTATTTTTTAGTAGAGAGGAGGTTTCACCATGTTGGCAAGACTGGTCTTGAACCCCTAACCTCAAGTGATCCACCCACCTCAGCCTCCCAAAGTGCTAGAATTATAGGCATGAGTCACTGAGCCCAGCCCATATGGCCAAATCTGGGTCACAGGCTGTGACCATGCCACACCCACAGTAAGGACCTGATCAGTGCTCTCCTCTCTCAAGTCTGGACCCTGAAACACATTCTTCCTATCAATTTCCACCTGGACAACTTGCCAATGTTTCCATCTGTTGTTTTAAAACACATAAGCTGGGTGTGGTGGCACACACCTGTAATCCCAAGCATTTTGGGAGGCCGAGACAGGAGGATTGCTTAAGCCCAGGAATTTCAGATCAGCCTAAGCAACAAAACAGGACCCTGTCTCTACAAAATGTGAAAATATTAGCCAGGCATGGTGGCACACGCCTATAGTCCCAGCTACCAGGGAGCTGAGATGGAAGGACTGCTTGACCCCAAGAGGTTGAGATTGCAGTGAGTCATGATTACGCCACTGCACGCCAGCCTGGGTGACAGTGAGACCATCACAAAAAGGAAACGAAAGGCCAGGTGTGGTGGCTCACATCTGTAAATCCCAGCACTTTGGGAGGCCAAGGTGGGCAGATCACCTGAAGTCAGGAGTTCGAGACCAGCCTGGAAAATATGGCAAAACCACATCTCTCCTAAAAATGTAAAAATTAGCCAGATGTGGTGGCAGGCACCTGTAATCCTAGCTACTCTGGAGGCTGAGGCAGGAGAATCACTTGAAACTGGGAGGTGGAAGTTGTAGCGAGCCAAGATCACGCCATTGCACTTTACCATGGGCAACAGAGAGACACTGTCTCAAAAAAAGTAAATAAATATACAAGAATTTAAAAATAAGGCCGGATATGGTGGCTCACGCCTATAATCCCAGCACTTTGGGAGGCCGAGGCAGGTGGATCACGAGGTCAAGAGATCGAGACCATCTTGGTCAACAAGGAGAAACCCCGTCTCTACTAAAAATACAAAAATTAGCTGGGCATGGTGGCACGTGCCTGCAGTCCCAGCTACTCGGGAGGCCGAGGCAGGAGAATTGCTTGAACCCAGGAGGTGGAGGTTGCAGTGAGCTGAGATCGTGACATTGCACTCCAGCCTGGGCAACAAGAGCGAAATTCTGTCTCAAAAAAAAAAAAAAAAAAAAAGAATTTAAAAATAAATAAAACACATGTAGACTTCAAGCTCTTTGAACAAAAAAAGGCAGAGTCCCTGGGTCAAGAGCTCAGGGCCTCCCACTGGCTCCTTCCAAACAGGCCACTCAACTCCATGGCTGGACCTTGTCCCTGAGCACGAAGACACTCCCCCCTACACAAGCCAGAAACACATCTGTGGTACACGTTCTCTCCAGCCCTGGCGTGCGGCTGGGGCAGGTACCTACGCGTTAGAGACCTGCATATCATGCCAGCTCCTGGACAGGTTCTGTTTCAAGCCCCCCAGGGTGGAGAGGCCCAGCCTCCTCTTGAGCTCTCCGCAATGCCTCTCCTTGGCTGCCAGGACCTGGCGTAGAGTAACAATTTCCTCTTCCACCTGCAAAGCACACAGTTGACATGATGAGCCATCACTACTGCAGGAAGTGACTAACATCCTCATACACAGCGCCAGAAGAGTTACACAAGAACTTTCCGCTTACCAAAGCATTAACTCATCCTAGGAATAGTGTCTACAGCAGATTTTCTTTTTTTGAGACAGTTTTGCTCTTGTTGCCCAGGCTGGAGTGCAATGGTGCGATCTTGGCTCACTACAACCTCTGCCTCTCAGGTTCTAGCTATTCTCCTGCCTCAGCCTCCCAAGTAGCTGGGAATACAGGTGCTCACCACCACGCCTGGCTAATTTTATATTTTTAGTAGAGAAGGGGTTTCGCCATGTTGGTTAGGCTGGTCTTGAATTCCCAACCTCAGGTGATCCACTAGCCTTGGCCTCCCAAAGTGCTGAGATTACAGGCAAGAGCCACTGCACCCAGCCAGCAGATATCTGTTTTAATCTGGTACTAGGAACTTGACTCCAGAGAACTGTCCCATGCCCCCAAGCTAAATGGTTCTGGTAGAGCTACCAATCATTGTGTCCATTTGCAGTCATGAGGAATAACCCAAGTTGACCATGGCTTGTCCAAGCTCTTTCCTGGGACTGGGCATGTTTTTAAAAAGGTGAAAAACCTGGCCAGGTTCAGTGGTTTGTGCCTGTAATCTCAGCACTTTGGGAGGCGGAGGTGGGTGGATCACAAGGTCAGGAGTTTGAGACCAGCCTGACCAATATGATGAAACCCCATTTCTACTAAAAATACAAAAATTAGTTGGGTGTGCTGGCATTCGCCTGTAATCCCAGCTACTCAGGAGGCAGGAGAATCGCTTGAACCCAGGAGGCGGAGGTTGCAGTAAGCCAAGATTGCGACATTGCACTCCAGCCTGGGCAACAAGAGTGAAACTCCGTCTCAAAAAAAATTTTTAAATGAATTATCTTTCTTCCTTCTAATCCCAGCACTTTGGGAGGTGTGCACCCATAATCTCAGCTACTCAGAAGACTGAGGCAAGAGAATCACTTGAACTTGAGAGGTGTAGGCTGCAGTAAGTCAAGATCATGCCTCTACACTCCAGCCTGGGTGACAGAGTGAGACTCCATCCTAAAAAAAAAAAAATTCTCTTTTTTGGCTGGGCATGTGGCTCGAGCCTACAATCCTAGCACTTTGGGAAGCTGAGCCAGGCAGATCTCTTGAGGCTGGGAGTTCAAAACCAACCTGACCAACATGGTAAAATTCTGTCTCTACTAAAAATACAAAAATTAGGCTGGGTGCGATGGTTCACGCTTGGCTGAGGTGGGTGGATCACGAGGTCAGGAGACTGAGACTACCCTGGCTAACACGGTGAAATCCCAACTCTACTAAAAATACAAAAAATTAGCCAGGCGTGGTGGCAGGCGCCTGTAGTCTCAGCTACTCAAAAGAGTAAGGCAGGAGAATTGCTTGAATTAGGGAGGCGGAGGTTGCAGTGTGCCAAGATCATACCACTGCACTCCAGCCTGGGCGACAGAGCAAGACTCCATCTCAAAAAAAAAAAAGATTATCATGTGTTAATTCCAACAGAGACACTCCCAGCAGATGGCTGCTCAGAGGCAGTTTGTGTGTGAATACTCTCCCTGGAGCACTTGGGAAGGACCAGGAAGAAGTGTGGGGAGGAAGTCATGCCCTGTCTCTACTTCCAGGTGGCTCTGAGTCCAGTGCATGGAGCTGGGCACATACAAAGAGAGCCCCACTATCCCTGGGAAGGCAGAGCAGGGTGGCCACCCAAGGCAATTCCTCCTCAATATGGCCAGTACCCTGGCCTAGCATTAATCCAAGAGGGCCTTAACACCAATTCACGCCAGAACAGACAGTCAAGCCATAGCACCTTTGTCAGCTCAGCCCTGAGCTCCTCCTCCTCAGCCTCTGTCAGACCCTCAACAGCAGGAGTCCGGGCAGCCACACCTGTGTCGACAGGGACATCGGTCATGGAATCAGACAGCAGACCTTTGTTAGGAGAATTCAGGTTGATATCTGCCAGAGACAAAATATGAGACCAGAAAGTGTCAAGTAAGTTTACTCCTAAGTAAATACGGTAGAGGTCTCTAGCAGGACAAAAGCCAAGGTGGGAGGGAGGGAGATCCTAGAGACTCACACCTCTTCTCTGAAAGGTCTGTGGGGACAGCTTGGGCGTTAGACTAGGGCAGCCACACCTCAGGCCACCTGAGATGAAAATCCAATACCACCTGTGCTGCTTCAGAGCATGAGAAATGCTGGCCAAAGACAGCCAAACCCTAATTCCAGCTTCCCAGTGAGAATACTATCTTCAGAGGCAGGAAACCCTTGCTACAAAGAAAGCAGCTCAATCTAACAGATCTTCCACTTTTTTTTATGGTGATGGAGTCTCACTCTGTCACCTAGGCAGGAGTGCAATGGCACCATTGGCTCACGCAACCTCTAAATCCTGGGTTCAAGCAATTCTCTGCCTCAGCCTCCCAAGTAGCTGAAATTACAAGTGCCCACCACTACACCCAGCTAATTTTTCTGTATTTTTAGTACAGATGGGGTTTCACCATCTTGGCCAGGCTGGTCTTTTACTCCTGACCTAGTGATCTACTCTGGCCTCTCAAAAAGTGCTGGGATTACAGGTGTGAGCCACCGAGACGACCTTAAAAGTAAATTAAAATAAGGCTGGGCTTGGTGGCTCATGCCTGCAATCCCAGCACTTTAGGAGGCTGAGGCAGGCAAATCACAAGGTTAGGAGATCAAGACCATCCTGGCTAACATGGTGAAACCCCCTATTAAAAATGCAAAAAATTGGCCCGGTGCAGTGTCTCAAGCCTATAATCCCAGCACTCTGGGAGGCCGAGGCAGGTGATCACGAGGTCAACATGGTGAAACCCCATCTCTACTAAAAATACAAAAATTAGCTGGGCATGGTGGCACGTGCCTGTAATCCCAGCTACTCAGGAGGCTGAGGCAGGAGAATTGCCTGAACCCAGGAGGCGGAGGTTGCTGTGAGCCGAGATCGTGCCATTGCACTCCAGCCTGGGCAACAAGATCAAAACTCCATCAAAAAAAAAAAAAAAAAAAGCAAGAAATTAGCTGGACATGGTGGCACGCGCCTGTAATCCCAGCTACTCGGGAGGCTGAGGCAGGAGAATCACTTGAACCCGGGAGGCAGAGATTGCAGTGAGCCAAGATTGTACCACTGCACTCCAGCCTGGGCAACAGTGAGACTCTCTTTCAAAAATAAAGTAAGTTAAAATAAAAGGCATAGATTGAAAAGATGTAGAAGTATCCCTAATTATAGATATGTCTGTCAACCGTATAAATTCTAAGGAGTCTACTAACAAGTTGATCTGCTATGAAAAAAAAAATATTTAAAAAAAAGAAAAGAAAAACTATGCCTTTTCAATTAAAAAACAAAACAAACAGATTGAATGCACTTAACAAAGATACCCTTTTTAAAAGCTGGCTTTTAAAAGCAGTTCATTCCCTTCAAATGCCCCATAGGACTGGAGCTGTGCACTTTCTTGGCACTTGACAAATGCTTACTACGTGAAGTTTATCCACTGTTTTATCAACTGATTCTGATTTTTTTTTTTTTTGAGAAAAGTCTTACTCTGTCACCCAGGCTGGAGGGCAGTGTCGTGATCTCCGCTCACTGCAACCTCCACCTCCCGGGTTCAATCAATTCTCCTGCCTCAGCCTCCGAAGCAGCTGGGACTACAGGCTCGAACCACTATGTCTGGCTAATTTTTAAATTTTTAGTAGAGACTAGGTTTCACCATGTTGGCCAGGCTGGTCTCAAACTCCTCACCTCAAGTGATCCACCAGCCTCAGCCTCCCAAAGCGTTGGGATTATAGGCGTGAGTCACCGTGCCCAGGCTTTCTCTTCTATTTGAAAAAAGATAAATGTGGCCAGGCGCAGTGGCTCATGCCTGCAATCCCAGCACTTTGGGAGGCCAAGGTGGATCACGAGGTCAAGAGATCCAGACCATCCTGGCCAAGAGTGAAACCCTGTCTCTACTAGAAACAAAAATTAGCTGGGCGTGGTGGCACGTGCCTGTACTCCCAGCTACTTGGGAGGCTGAGGCAGGAGAATCCACTAAGCCAAGATGGTGCCACTGCACTCCATCCCGACAATAGAGCAAGACTCCCTCTCAAACATATATATATATATATATACACACACATATGTATGTTATGAAATATTATATATACATATATATATAATGCTTAATATGCAGCTGCAGGTTAAACAGTGGAAAAGCTTCCTGAACTTATTCTGTGTGGTTACCTCAACGTAGAAATTTAGCATCCCTCTCTAGAGCCCAAAATGGAAGACAGACGTGTACCATCTTCTCAAGATTTTAAAATTCTGGGTTCGCTCCACATCCCTCAGTGGCCATCTCGTACTGCTCCGAGGTGACTGTTCTGGAAACAGGCATGGTATCCTGGGGGTGCCCCTGACTCCCTCCACCCCTCTCCATGAGGCGACCCCTAAGTAGGCTGAGCTCCGAGCAGAGTTGCCACCCACGGGGAGCTCTGCTGAACGCGGAGACTGTTTCACCACCCCTTCTCCCTTCTCGGGAGCCGTCCTCAACACCTCGGACTGGGTCCAGGTGCCCCGCGCAGGGACTCCACGGTGGCAGAGCAAGCAAGGACGGGGCGAGGGGGGTGGGGGTAGGGGCGGCATAAGTGAGACCTGCTTGGAGCGAGGGAACCCAAATACGGGAGCAACAGCAGCCGCCAGGGAACCAGACCTCGGAGAGGTCCCAGAGAAGACCGAAAGGGCGGCTGGAGAGAGCCCAGAGAGCGGTCTGGGCCGCGGGTGAAAGACGCACACCACGACCATCGTGAGCTTCGAGGTCAGTGGCCCGGGAGCTGAAGAGGGCCGAGCGAGGGGTGGGCGAGCAGAGGCTGAGAGGACTGAGAATCGCACACTCGACGCCGGGAGAGGGGGAACACCCGGCGGCCTGGGCCCATCTGCGGCGGAGGCGCCGGGCCCCGCAGGTACCTTGGCCGGCGGAGTCCATGTTCATGCGGCGTCCGGACCGCTATCGCTGGCGCTAAAAGAGCCGAGCGGGCGGCGCCAGGACTGGCTCGCCGCGTACACACTAGGCAGCGGAACTGCTTCGGTCCTGCAACGTTACGTAATCAGCGACGCGACGGCTACTTCCGCTCGGGCGCGGGCTCCCTCCTCCTCCCGCCCCACCAGTGATGTCCAATGAGAGCGTTGTTTGGTCCGTCCTGATTTATCTGACTCAACCCGATAGGCCGAAACTGCGGGCGAAGCCGGAAAGGGAGGAGGGGTTCGGAAGGAATCCAATCCAGGTTGACTCCACCAGCGAGATGCACAGGTAGAACGGTCAGAGTAGCGGGAGCGCGGCGGGGTGGGAAGTGGGAGGACCGTCCAACATGGCGCTGTGGAAAGCCACCGCAGGGCCCCAGGGGACCTTCCGGGGCGGATGCAGCTGCTCACTAATGCCGGGGCTCGCGCCCCACGGCGGCTCCGACTCTGACCCCGTGAGATCCTTTTCAGCCCGACCCTTGACTTTGGGGGTCAGCCTTTCCCCGTGAGTCCTGTATTTATTTTCTGTTTTTTAGTTTGTCCTTTTTTTGTTGTTTCGAGACGGAGTTTCGCCCTTGTTGCCCTGGCCGGAGTCCAGTGGTGCGATCTCGGCTCACTGCAACCTCCGTCCCCAGGTTCAAGGGATTCTCCTATCTCAGCCTCCCCATTAGCTGGGATTTCAGGTGCGCCCTACACGTCCGGCTGATATTCGTATTTTTAGTAGAGACGAGGTTTCTCCACGTGGGCCAGGCTGGTCTCGAACTCCTGCCTCCGGTGATCCACCCGCCTCGGACTCCCAAAGTGTTAGGTTTACAGGCGTGAGCCACGGCGCCCGGCTAGTTTGTCCTTTTGATGGGGACTTTTTACTGTATGCGGATTGCGCTGAAAAACACCGCGATTCGGCCCCTCGCCCTGCAGGCGCCGCTGCCCACCTGGTGGCCGAGACCCGACTGGAGGTGACTCGGCTTCTCAAGTCCTCTACTCTGCCAGCCTTGGGCGTGGACCCTGCAGCTTGGGCCAGGGTGCCATGCACCCCGGGACTTGTCTCACTTCCTGTTCGCCGAGACCCAGGCCACGCTGGGCCCTCCCCACTCCACAGATGAGGAAGCTGAGGTTAAAGTGACTTGCCCCAGGTCACTCCACAAGTGCTACCAGGATACTCTGGAACAGTATGCCTGATCTCAGAGGAGAGGCGTGTAACCACTAGGCAACTGGCCCCACGAAAAGAACAAGTCCCACAACTTCCCTTCTTTGGCTCCTATTTGCTCCTGGAAGAAAAGCCTTAAATGGTATTTAAGCCCTTTGGGGTCTGAGGTCTTAGGACTGCACTCTGGCCTTCCAGTCTGAGGTGGTTCTAGACCCTCCTCCCACTGCCCCTTCCTTCACCTGGCCACCTCCTCCCACAGGTGTCTTCCTGGTACTCTGGCACAGGCCGGAGTCTCTTACCATCGCGGCCTTATCCTGCTCTGGTGCTCTCAGTAACGTTTTCTTCATTTCCTGCCTTTCTTTCTTTCCAAAGAATTTTGCTAAACCCAACCAGGCCAGCCCAGGGACTAGGGACAAGCACAGCCTGCTTCTGCGTTCTGCCTGCTTCAGGCAATTCAGGGCAGAGCGCAGAGACGTGACATTACATACGGTGGTGAGCAGAGGCCTTGTCTCGCATTCTGTGTTGCATCCCTCAGCCAGGAACAAAGTCCAGCCCAGGCCTGGCTCCAGGGGACACCCAGTAGTGTCCCCTGGCCGGTGCAGGTGTATCTGTAGCCTCACATGCCACCATGTGAGTCTGCAGTCCATCTGTGAATGCCCTGGGGTGGAAGCCTATAGTTTGGAGGTGGGAGGGAGCCCTACAGAGTGTAAACTCCTGGGAATGTTCAGCCACTGAGACGTGCCGACAACCCTGTGGCCAGTGTCCTCCTTTCACAGAGCAGCTTGCACAGACTTTCAGCACACAGCTGGCATTGTTTTCCTGGGAGCCAGCTGTAACCCCGGCCAGGTGAAGGGCTCCTCCCTGTGACCTCACAGCCCCTCTTCCCATCATCCTTTTGTGGTGATAGAGGCACCCATCACACAGGATTGCCATAAACTAGGTCAGGTTAATTTTTGCATTTCCTTTAGGAGCTGGATGGGGGCGTCAAAAAGTATTTGTGGGAGGAAGAGACAGAAAGGAGGGGACGGAGCAAGGAAGAACAGAGGGAAGGTCAGAATGTCCCAGGTAAGGAAGGAGAGCACCAAGTTCCTGTGTTGTGCCCATTGGCCCCCAAACAGCAGGTTAGGTAGGAGCGCCCTGCCGCTGCCCCCTACGCAGGGCCAGGGTTACTGGTTGGGAGTTTGGGGAGGGGAACCAGGAAGGTGTTTCAGTGCATGATCCCCCACAGGGGTATAGGTCACAACCCCCAGGGCAACTGAAAGTCCTCAGGCTCCAGAGGGCTGCAGTGAGTCGCCTCCACATTCTTGAGGTGCTTCCGAGCCAGGAACAGTGCGAGCTGTCGCCTCCGCCTTGACCTCAGACCCTGACCCACTAGCCATGGAAAGCCGGGTCCGCGCGGCCCCTGGGCCTCCTCGCCCTCCAGCTGTTTTTCGCAGCGTGCACGGTAGGACTGCAGCAGCTCCAGGCACTGCTTCTCGTCCACGCGGTAGCGTGCATAGAAGGCAGCCTCCTGCGCCAGGCTGCCAGCGCGCAGCCAGCGCGTGACAATGGCCTGGCCCTCTCCCGCCATAACAGCGGGGTAGCGCTGCTGCAGCAGACGCAGCAGCAGCTCATTGCCGCGGTTGCCTTCCACGTCGCCAGGTTGCTGGGGCCGCAGGCGACCCGAGGTGCTGACCACGTCGTCCTGCGTGCGTCGGAGCAGCAACACCGGCCCCAGGTAGCAGCACAGCTGCTCCGCTACGTTGAGGTTGAAGTGCTTGCGCACGGTGCGCACCACCAGCCCCTTACAGCTGTGCGGCATGACCTTCAGCGCCAGCGGCACGAGGTCGTCGAAGGTGGCGTCCAGCACCAATGCACCCAGCTCTGGGTAGGTCATGGTGGCCCAGGTGGCTGTGAAGCCGCCGACGGACCAGCCGTAGACCACCACATGCGCGGGCGAGAAGCGCAGACGGTGCAGCGCATAGTTGACCACCACATCCATGGCATTGGCGTCGTGCTGCGGGGAGGGCACGCCCGTGCTGCCACCGAAGCCAGGGTGGTTCCAGCCCAGCACGGAGTAGCCGGCCTCGAGCGGCGCAAACAGGCAGCCCATCTCGTAGAAGCCAGCGTTGCCCTCGCAGCAGATGACCAGGCGCAGCCCGTGCCCGTGGCTGCCCGGCTGCTGGCGGCGGTCCATGAACATGGTGTCGATCTCGTTGCCGTCGCAGGCCACCAGCTTGGCGCGCCGGCCGTGGTAGCGCTCCTGGAGGCGCTCCTGGCCCTGCTGCAGCAGCGGCAGCAGTGCACGCGTCATCAGGGACACGGAACCGGGGTACACGAGCCAGCGACCCAGTGAGTGGGCCAGGACGTAGCTGGCGAGCTGACTGGGCAGCTCACGGAGCTGCTGCAGGAGGCACTGCACCTGGCTGCGCGCCCTGCGCGAAGGCCGCCCTGGTGCCTCCCCGCCCAGCGCCGCATCCCGCAGCAGCCACACGCCTGCCGCGGCGCCCATACAGGTCAGCGCCCGGTGGCTGCTGCTCCCTCCCGCCGCGCACACGTCATCCCAGCGGAAGTCCACGGGCCAGCCACGGAAGGTGTAGGTGTAGCTGGCGGTCAAGTAGATCTTAAATACATGCACCAGGGCCTTCATGAAGCAGATGACGCACATGGGCGGTGGCTGCAGTCACTCCCCTCTGCGAGGGGCACCCAGCCATCTTAGGGCATGCTGGTACCTCGCCGGCCCTGATGGCCTTTGTGACTTGGCCTTCCAGGGCCAGGAAAGGTCTCATCCTGTTGCTAGGTGATGAGCACACAAAGGGTTCCTGGAGATGAGGGACCCAGCGTTCTGCCTGTCCCCCCTTGGCCGGGACCCCACCAGTGAAACGCTTCCAGGCCCAGCCTTCCCACCCATGCTTTGAGCAGCAACTGCCTCCCTCTTTCTTATTTATTTATTAAATTGAAATGGGGTCTCACTATGCTGCCCAGGCTGGTCTTGAACTCCTGGGCTCAAGCCATCCTCTGGCCTCTGCCTCCCACAGTGCTGGGATTCCAGGTGTGAATCCCTGTGCCCAGCCTCCCTCTTCCTTAAACCAGAGATGGGCAACCTCACAGGCCAGAAAGGGGCAGCCTTGCCTTCTCCCTGCCAGGGCCAGGGTCTCACTAGGAAGAAGGCAAGGCTTCCTCTGCCTGTGCCAGGCTTGCAGTGGGTTCCCTCCCCTGCCCCTTCAGGGTCCACTAGTCCACATCTACTCTCCCTAGGAGAGCTGCTGCTGCACCAGAAAGGCAGTGTTTGCTCTTGGCCTGCTGGTCCCTCCCCTGTACACCTTCCTTCTCGGGTGCAGACCAGAAAGAAGCCCCCCTCCTTTTCTGGATCCTCTTTTCACTGGCTGCCAGGAGTAGCAGTGACCTCTGACAGCTCCTGCCTGGCTGGCAGGAGCAGCAGTGACGTTTGACAGGTCCTGCCTGGCTGGGGTTCCTCTTTCTCAGTCCCTGGTTGAGCCCAACTCCCAGGCTGTACCTCCTTTTCTGGAGGGGTCTGGTGGGTTCCCCTTTTTCCCCTGCCCTGGAAAGGGCCAGCCCACCTGAGGGTAGGGTCAGAGGCTGCCCGCCAGGGGGAGCCCCAGGGAGGGGGTGGCTCAAGGGACTCAACAGCTCCCCAGACCAGAAACAGAAATGCTACCATCAGAGAGTTTTGTAAATCCAGCCAGAGCCTCTGAGCCAGGTGCCATGTCTGCCTGCCCCCAGCCTTCTGGGAAAGTTCCAGGCTGAAGCACCCTCTCTCTGCCCTCCTGCTCTATGTCTGGGTTAGAGGCACTACCTGACCCAAGCAGCCCCCCCAGCCCCCAGCTTGGGCAGTCAACTGAGGACAGCTGCTGTCTTTAGGGGTTGGGAACAGAAGGACAGGGACCAATTGACAAAGCAAGTGATTTGGGGGCTATTACCCCCATTCCAGTTGCCAGATAAAATACAGAATAATGTACCAGTTAAATTGGAATTACAGGCCAGGCGTGGTGGCTCACGCCTGTAATCCCAGCACTTTGGGAGGCCGAGGCGGGTGGGTCATGAGGTCAAGAGATCGAGACCATCCTGGTCAACAAGGTGAAACCCTGTCTCTACTAAAAATAAAAAAATTAGCTGGACGTAGTGGCATACGCCTGTAGTCCCAGCTACTCAGGAGGCTGAGGCAGAATTGCTTGAACCCAGGAGGCGGAGGTTGCAGTGAGCCGAGATCACACCATTGCACTCGAGCCTGGGTAATAAGAGTGAAACTCTGTATCAAAAAAAAAGAAATGGAATTACAGATAAACAAATGCTTTTTGGGTATAAGTATGTTCAAAAATATTGCTTTAGACATACTTTTATTTTAAAATTGTTTACCTGAAATTCCAATTTAACTGGATACCCTGGGTTCTGTTTGTTTGTTTTTGAGACAGAATTTCGCTCTTGTTAACCAGGCTGGAGTGCAATGGCACGATCTCGGCTCACAGCAACCTCCGCCTCCTGGGTTCAGGCAATTCTCCTGCCTCAGCCTCCCGAGTAGCTGAGATTACAGGCACGCGCCACCATGCCCAGCTAATTTTTTGTATTTTTAGTAGAGACGAGGTTTCACCATGTTGACCAGGATGGTCTCGATCTCTTGACTTCGTGATCCACCTGCCTTGGCCTCCCAAAGTGCTGGGATTACAGGCGTGAGCCACTGTGTCCGGCTGTTTGTTTTTAAGATGGAGTCTCACTCTTGTCACCCAGGCTGGAGTGCAATGGTGCGATCTCAGCTCACTAACTTCTGCCTCCCTGGTTCGAGCGATCCTCCTGCCCTAGCCTCCTGAGTAGCTGGGATTACCGGGGTGAGCCGCTGCACCCTGGATATTCTGTTTGTTTGTTCTTGTTTTGCTAAATCTGGCGGTCCTATCCCCAGGTGCACACACAGCTGAGATCCAGATTTTCCTGGCTATCCAGCTTTGAGCTCAGATTGGCTCATTGCGCTCATTGGTCAGGCTCTGAGGACAAAGAGGGTGTTTTGATGTCCACTGGTGCACCTGTCACACCATCTTTTCCACTGGGTCCTGGGCAGCAACAGGAGCCCTGCCCCAGGACAGAGGGCTTCCCATGGGATTGGTGGTTCTAGTCCCGCTCAAGTGTCCACCCCTGCCCCTGAGGGGAAAGGAGCCTCCTGTGGCTAAGGCTGGAGATGGGAACTTCTGCAAAGGGTAGGAGATGATTCCTTTTTCCAGGAGCCTCTTTCATAAACTCAGTGGCTGCCTGCCCTAGGCGGGTGGCAGCTGTGGGCCCAAAGGCTCCCGGCCCATTTTGTGTGAGACCACAGGAGTGAACCCAGCAACAGAGCCGAGGCCCTGACAGGGGTCCCTGACTCCCCATTCAGATCCTGGCAGCAGCCGGGGTCCTGGAGGGCTGTCCACACAGGATGTTGGATGCACTAAGCTTATTTTGATTCCCCTGAACAGATTCTGCTTAGAGAAGCCTCATCCTCCTGGGGAGTCTCCCAGCTTGATCTGCTCTGGGACT